ATGGAAAATTTCACAAGAAATTCAATTAAAATCAACAAATGTGAGTGACTACTATATGCTAAGCACTGTTGATAGGCCTTAGAAATTTAGAGATGAATGAGAAATAGTTCTCCCAACATTCAAGACTGGCTTTAGGCCGGCTCGGTGGCTCACACCTGTAATACTAGCACTGTGGGAGGCCGAGGTGGGCAGATTGCTCGAGGTCAGGAGTTCAAAACCAGCCTGAGCAAGAGTGAGACCCCGTCTCTACTATAAATAGAAAGAAATTAATTGGTCAACTAATATATATAGAAAAAATTAGCTAGGCATGGTGGCACATGCCTGTAATCCCACTACTTGGGAGGCTGAGGCAGTAAGATTGCTTAAGCCCAGGAGTTTGAGGCTGCTGTGAGCAAAGCTGACACCACGGCACTCACTCTAGCCTGGGCAACAAAGTGAGACTCTGTCTCAAAAAAAAAAAAAAAAAAAAAGACTGGCTTTATTGGCTTCCAGATCAAAAGTAAATATCAGTGAACAATTTCTCAAGAAGTCTTCCCATCCAGTCATCTATCGATGCCGAGGTGTCACAGCACCTAAGGGAGACTAAAGAGGAGAGATAGTACAGTACTTTGGAAAGCCAAGGTGGGAGGATTACTTGAGGCCAAGAGTTTGAGACTAGCCTGAGCACCACAAGGAGACCCTGTCTCTACAAAAAATAGAAAAATCAGCCAGGTATGGTGACATGGGCCTATAGTCCCAACTTGCCAGGCAGGCTGTGGCAAGAGGATCACTTGAGCCCAGCCCAGGAGTTTGAGGCTACAGTCAACATGATGTGTCATGGCACTCCAACCTGGGCACCAGAGCAAGATGCTGTCTCAATAAATAAATAAATAAAATAAAGAAGGGAGATAGGAAATGATGTTCATTTGTCTTCAGATCCCTCTGCTGATAAATCTATATAGGCCTCCCACAGAAGACCCTTAGGCCTCCCACAGAAGACCCTGTCCTCTAAGTACTACTCACTGAAGCCCTGTTTGTTATACCAGCAAGCTAGTTCTTAATGTCCACTCTAAATTTCTCATAAAATCTCCTGGAACACATAAAGCTATGAGCGACAGGACATACTCCTCCTAGTCCTTGAAAATGGGCTTCCAGGCCAGACCAATCTAGGGTTCAAATTCTAGCTCAGGGGTGGGGAACCTGTGGCCTTAAGGACACATGTGGCCTTTCATCTGAATCCAAATTTTATACAATAAATCCTTTTATTTATTTATTTATTTTTGAGACAGAGTCTCATTCTGTTGCCCAGGCTAGAGTGCCGTGGCATCAGCCTATCTCACAGCAACCTCAAATTCCTGGGCTCAAGCAATTCTCCTGCCTCAGCCTCCTGAGTAGCTGGGACTACAGGCATGTACCACCATGCCTGGCTAATTTTTTCTATATATTTTCAGTTGGCCAATTAATTTCTTTCTATTTTTAGTAGAGATGGGGTCTCACTCTTGCTTAGGCTGCTTTCGAACTTCTGACCTTGAGTGATCCTCCTGCCTCAGCCTCCCAGAGTGCTAGGATTACAGGCATGAGCCACCACGCCCGGCCCCAAATCCTGTTATTTTTATTATACATTTTTGTTGTCTTTTACATATTATTTTAAATGAATGTATTTATACTCAATGGTGTTCAGAGAAGTGAAAAAGGAAAAAAAATTTTAAAAAGAAAATAAAATGAACATATTTAAAATATCAAAGAATAGGCCAGGTGTGGTTGCCCGGCTAGAGTGAGTGCCATGCATCAGCTTTGCTCACAGCAACCTCAAACTCCTGGCCCAAGCGATCCTCCTGCCTCAGCCTCCCAAGTAGCTGGGACTACAGGCATGTGCCACCATGCCTGGCTCATTTTTTCTATAACTTTTGGTGGCAATTACTTTCTTTCTATCGTAGTAGAACTGGGTCTTGTTCTTGCTTAGGCTGGTCTGACTCCTGACCTTGAGCAATCCTCCTTCGTGGGCCTCCCAGAGAACTAGGATTACAGGCGTGGCCACCGCGCCTGGCCCAAACCCATATTCTAATTGCACTTACCAGGAAGGACTAGCTAGGATGCAGTGGAAATTCCAATAGAAGGGGAGACCAGACAGCTCACTCCGCACCCGTAAAATCAGTTCTCTGCCCACATTCACAGAGAGGTGAGCTTCAGGTAGGTGAGTCCTTCAACAATGGCGAAGCAGATTATCCAAATGACAGAGAAAAGTGCAGGGGAGCAGTCAGCCGCTTGTTCAGCTCCTAGAGAGAGAGAGCAACCGTACAGAGTAAGGCTGTAAAAGAAGCAACGGCCGCCCTTCATAACTAATAGTAAAGGAAATAAGCGCCTTTGGTAACAGTTGAAGGGACAAACAGGACAGGCATGCAAGAAAGGGAAGGAAGATAAAACATTCAGAGATGGGGGAAAGGAAGAAAAACAAAAAGAGTCACCAAGATTAACTAGCTACAATTCCAATTCTGCCTGGCAAGACAAGATTGTACAGAGCCTATTATAGAGTTTCCAGGTTGTGGAAGTAGTAGGCAGGCACGATGTATGGTATTGTTCCATCCCTACAGTGACAAGAAACTAACTTTTCTATCAAGCAACAGGGCCTGCCCAGCCACAGAGGAGAGGATCCAGGTCACAGGGGCAGAATTTGCAGGGTGGTTAATTGGGAATGTGTCTCAACCCAGTTTAACTTTAGCTTTGCCAACCTATGGGGCAGCAAAGCTCGGTTGTGGTTACATATTTCCCCCCTGGACCTTCACTAGGAAGCAATGGTATCCACCCGCCAGCCACTCCACAGCAGCCTTCTGTCTTTATACTTACCCTTGCATCGGGCTGGCGGACCACCCACTAGTTGTCACTGTTCATTGGCCCCACCTGTTGAAAGAATGCCGAAACCAGCAAGGGGCATATCCCCTTTGCTTGGTGATAAAAGGGCCTGGGGCAAGAAAGGGATTTCCTTCGGCAAGCTGTAAGCATTGCCATGCTGCATCCAACCAGGCCTGCTCAGTTTCTTCCATCTGCAGGAAAGTTCTAATTTAGCAAGTGCCTCCCAGGGATTGTAGTCTAGAGAGACCCTCAACCAAGCTCTATATCAACTAAAAATCTCCTGAAATCTTTCCCCAATAAAACAGGAGGCATGATTTATGTTCTCCCAAGTATATAACCCAGTTGACCCCACTCAACCGTTAAATTACCTTCTG